CCAAACTATGAAAAAAAAAAAAAACTTACAAAAATAAACCTAAGTAACTCTGCCAGAGTGTGTCTTTTGGGTCACTTTGCCGGTCCCAAGCCCGGATAAAGGAGGAGGGTTGGTTGTAGAGCTAGCAATTTCACCCTACATAACAATCTTTTGATTACATTTGCTGTTATAACATTTAACAATACAGGACAAAACTGATGTGTGTAATGTGGATCTAGACAAAGCATTAAAATCATTAAATGTTGTTAATGTTGAAATTATTTTTGTACATTTGTAGTTCTAAACATATTTAGGGTGTTTTTACTCACTTTTGTCTCTCCCACGACCTTATTCCTCTCTCCTACAGCGTCCGTTACAGTTATTTGCAAATGGCAAATTATGCAAATTAGGCGATGACGTCATTTAGCGACTTCTAGCGACTTTTGGGACAGCCAATAGCTACTTTCCTTACTGAGGAGTTGGCAACACTGGCAGCGAGAGAGCTAGCGTAAGTTTCACTTTTCTCCGGGAGCCGAAGGAGAAAGGTCGCTTGTTTGAACTCTGGAAATTTATTTTGTAAGATATAAAGCGATGAATGCTTGAGTCTTGTGATGTCTTAAGCCATGGAGTGAGATATATTTTCGGAAGAATATCCTGGTGAGTGTTAAATGTTAAGTTTAGCAGATATACTTTTTTTCAATGTAAGAGTAAACTGTGTCGATGAATGTGCACTTCGAACTATAAAACCAGTCGGGATATGATACGTTTTGTTGATAATGTGTTAAAATGTGTGTTAAAAGCTGCTAATGTGATGTTAGCTGTGGAAAATGTAAGCTAGCGCACCCGCACGTGTGCTTATAACATGAGCACTACACGAGTTACACGCATGTGTGCATGCGGTGGCGCTGTGGGCCAGATACGTGGCTAAAATGAACATTTACTTTTCCACTGGTCACTTTTATTTTTTTATTTACATGTAGGAACAAAAGATAGATGTTAATGATACAATTTTATTTTACACAGACAGTAATTGCTCTGCACCTTTTGTGCAGGCTGGTTTTTTTTTGTAGAGACAATCATCTAGAGACTGAGCGGAGCTATCCACGGACTGGATTTCAGCGGAGATGACTTCACGAGACCTTCAGTTTCCATTGGCCACCTGTTTCCAAGGAGGGTGGTAGGACACAAACCGGGTTCCTTGAGGAGTTACTTTTTTTTATTGAGATCTCAAAACATTATTTTTTTTGGTTCAAGCTTGGTACCACAAACTAAACAAACTGATGCATCAGAACAAAAAGGTTAAATGAACAATAACCAACAAAAAACAACTACTGAATACATTCTACTGAAATGGACAGTGTGAACGAATGCAACCAAAGTAACTGATACATTGTCAATGGCGTTTTGTTTTTTTGTTTCATGTTAATGGTCAAGTTTATGGGGATCCAAATATTTTTTGCTTGGAAATTGAATCTTTGAACGTATTTTTTTTTTAAGAATACATACCTTCTTTTTTCATATTCATACAGTTGTCGGTGTCTGTTATTGTGGTTGGAGGTTTCATTTTACTCTTTATAACCTAGAGTTGTCATTGCCAATCTCCTTACGAATCTAAGTTAATAGAACCCTAAATTGTATAGACATAGACCAGATTGATATAGATTTAAATTTTTCCTGACTACATCAGTTAAAAGGGGTACACAAAGAACGGCTTGGAATTGATCAAGTTGGCAAACACACAAAACAGTGAATTTAAGCAGGAAAGGTTCACATTTGTTCAGATGCCTTGACTTTTCTGAACCTTTCATATAAAGTACTTGAATTCTTCCCCTTGTTAGAGAATGTTTTATACTATTTCTTTTTTTAGATTAGATAATACGAAAACATTTTGGACCACGAAGAACGGAGAAAGCAGGTTATTTGTAGTTTTTAAAATCAAAGTTTTGCCTGCACTACGCTATTTCAATTAATCTCTGCAAATCTGGCCTGGTCACCACCTCCACATCAAATCCAACACATTTTACCTGTTCAAAGGTGCTCTCCAGTTTTGATCAGCATGGAACACTTGGGGCCAAAGGGTTGGGCCTGTGTTGTTACAAGATAATGTTACCCAATGGCATTGGACTTTAATTTAAAGTGAAAACTAAGAAATTCTAATTGTGAGTCATCTTGATTCAGTTTTTCTAATGTAATTCATGAGGGGAAAAAACAAAAAACGTTATAATCACAGTGTTGGGTTTGTTTGGACATTTTCTGAATACAATTAACTATGGTTTTTGAGGCAGCAGCAACAGACAGACTGACAACCATAGCGCTGTGTGTAAACATTGTTGACATATTTTCTATTTATTTATTTTTTCCCTTGGATTGACCTTTACTTCACACTTACACAGGATGCACAATTGAGATGTGCAGTATGGCAAGCATAACATTGACTCGCGTTGGAGACTTCTGTGTCTTTTGATTTCAAAGACTGCATACATGATTAGCATCACAGGTTGTTTTCATATTTCCATTTATTTTTTTGCCTCATTTGGCTTTCATGGTACATAAAGCAATTCATGGATTGGATTGGGAGGTATGCAATGTCAGCCATCATGGTCACTTTTTAAATAAGTCCACAATAATTATCATTGATTAATTCTCCAACCATTCACCCAACTATCCTTGCCAATCCTGCCTCGGAAAAGAACAACTGAAAAGAATAGTGGTGTGTTGCCCTAGGACACAACAATAGCATGCACAACAATAACTATTACAAGAACGCTACTTTGGGGGAATCTGCCAAAAATGCTCATAATATGTACTGTATAACTACTAGAAAAGAAATGTAGAGCATAGACCTCTGCCAAGAGGTGCACTTCCATCCCGTTAAAAAACAAAATCCTAGATTGAGAATCACGTCCAAAATCTACTGTGATTGATTGTTCCTTGTCCCTCTTTTTTTCCTTTCCTTAGTATTTTGAGATGTTGTGGTATCTGCTATTATTAATATTAATATTAATATTAATTGTACATAAATGTGTGGGTTTTCATACGTATAGAATGAGAGAGGACATGTCAGCACTTAATGTCTAAGACTGCTGACCATTCTCTCCCAGTCATGAGGCAGACATTTGAGCAGCACTGATATCATGACAATGCACACGGCTGTCCGTTAATGTATGGTTTGTTTTTAACGGGTCTTGTGACTGTGTCTTATGACTTTAAAATACTATAAGATCACAGTGTGACTGTGTGTTCGGGGTCATTCTTACCATCCTGATGCTGACCCAGGCTGGGAGCGCTAAGCCTGAATTTGATTTAATGCTATTCTGATTATGCCATTAAACTCTTTTCTTTAATACATAAAGAAACAGTTAGGCGACAGTAGTTCAGTTGGTAGAGCATTGGCCTTTGAGCCATCAGGTTGTGGGTTCGAGCCCGACTTTCACCATCGACTCCCACTGTCTGCTGTCGTTGGGTCCTTGGCAAGACACTTAACCTCTGGGAACACCTGATGCCACAGTGGGGCGGCTGCGGGTGTAAAGTGTTAAACTGCCGTTGTGTCCTTAGGCAAGACACTTCACCCCCATTGCCTAGAATGAGTCTGGTGTGTGTGAATGGTTGGTGGTGGTCGGAGGGGCTGATGGGGCACTGGTTGCCTCGCTTCTGTCAGTGTGCCCCAGGGCAGCTGTGGCTACAGTAGTAGTTTATCACCACCGTGTTTGGAGTGAAAGAATAATGACATGTGAAGCGTCTTTGAGTGTCCAGAAAAGCACTATATAAAACTGATGCATTATTATTATTATTATTATTATAATTATTATAACTCAGACTGCATTCCTTCTCCAACACTACACTGGTTTGTGCGAGGAACCCAATCTCCTGCTGAGGAGAAGATACAACAATGTCTTTTAAACTGTGGTTGCCTGGGTTGTCATCAGACTTCATTACACTGTCTGAAACTGATCAAATACTCGAATATGAGTGATAAAACAATCTCAAAAGGAAACAAAACAAAGTCGGCGTCAAAAGCATCAGGAGAGATGGTGAAGGGGGTTAGCCTGTGGTGAAGAGAGACTGTTGGCAGCTTCCACTGCAACAAAGGCCAGTGCACAGTCGCCATGTCCACAAAGCACACTGTAGCCAGAGGAGAGGAGGGTCTGAGTGTGATAGGAGTCCAGCAAACACCAAAGGCCCTGTGTGGGACGGGAGTGTCCTAGCAGTGCTTTCCAGAGGGCAGCAGGACACAGCAGGAGAGAAAGACTAAATGGATGTTCCCCGCAAGACCAGGATAAACAACCAGCCGAAAGAAAGGCAATGACCTTTCCAAAACCAAACGATTGTTTGGTTTTGGATATGTCCCAATTCTTAAGTTTATTGAGGTTGAGCAGTGTGCCCTTATCCAATAAATGAAATTATGTTTTATTTAGAGACCAGTTCACGCATTTGTCACTACTCTTGAAAAAACTGAAATACACATTCTAATTAACTCATTCACTGCCCATGACGACAAAACTCGTCATGTTGAATAGTAACGCTCACTGCCCATGACGAGTTTGACGAATTTTTCATGTTATTACACGGGAGGCTACAGTAATGTCTGGCGCACCTTGTGAATGACCCACAATACTGATATATAGTGCAAATGTACCTGTAATGATAAATCAACACCAGTAGGATGCAGTATTGCGCCACAGGAGAGGTCATAAGTCATTGGAGAGAAGGAGGAGGAGTGTGGGAGTGTTTGGAGAGCGAGCTGCTGTAGCATTGAGACGGATCAGCGATCTAGTTTAGCGATAGTATAGCAAGAGTGATGGCAAAAAAGAATAGTTATAAGCAGTGTACACTGCTTCAGAGATTGACTCGCGGATCAGTGAGTGAGGTCGAGAGGGGAGAGAGTGGAGACCCCGGTGGAGGTCCGTCTCTGCAGCCCAGAGCCCGGAGCAGGGACACACCTTCCGCCTCTCGCAGCGTATCAGCTGCTGTTGTTACTGATGCCTCGGATTCGTTCAGAGAACCTGATCATGATTTATCGGATGAGTGGTTGCAGTCTCAATCCAGCAGAGCATCCTCTCCAGAAGCTCCACAAAGAGTCGAAGGTAAGAACTTGCTAAATTGCCAAGAATATGCTAACTTGAGAGGAGGGAAAGGCGCGGAAACTTGCTCTGATCTGCAAAGTAACACAGCGCTCAAATCCTACTGTTTCTTTAGTAAATGCCAGTTATGCGTTTTATCATTGTTGTATTTATTATTTTTATGTTTAGTTATTTCATACTTGAACATCTTGTTGCAGTGACATAGCTCTGACTAAATGAAATGTGTTCTTCATTCACAGATTCTGATAAAAGAGCCCTCCCCCATTGGGGTTGACAGAGCATGGAGGTAAAGATGATTCCTCCTCATACCATTGTACATATTATTGTATATATTCTACTGGTATAGTGATTTACAAATTTATATTATTTACAGGTGGTGCATCAAGAGGCAGTTGCTGTGCACAAAAAAGGTAAAAGAACTATTTCTATTCTTGTACATCCCATGGCAATATAATATAATAATAATATAGTATACTTGTTTGGTCCAAAAGTAGTCAGTCAATAATGTGGGAGGAAGGCCTTCATTGTATTTTATGTATTGATTTATTGTAACAAATTCACTGTATAATATAGTTATTGTGTGTATCCATTTTCCAGCACGTTCGTCACCCAGAAGCTCTGGGGAAGATGGCTGACAGGAGGATCAGTGGGAGCCGAGTCAGTTGCCCTTCACAGGAGCTCCTGGACCTCAGAGACTGCGGACAGAGGCTGCGGACAGAGGCTGCGGACAGAGGCTGCGGACAGAGGCTGCGGACAGAGGCTGCGGACAGAGGCTGCGGACAGAGGCTGCGGACAGAGGCTGCGGACAGAGGCTGCGAAGCTGGATTCATCTGATCCAGACTTTCTGGAGCTGGATTCATCTGATCCAGACTTTCTGGAGCTGGATTCATCTGATCCATACTTTCTGGAGCTCTTCTTCACGGAGGGAGAACTACAAATGGTACACAGCGTGTCGTGTTCCGTTGCACACAGTGTTTCAACCTCTACAACTCAAAGCTGAACTACTGGGAGGACTGAAAAAGCAGATGAACTCACTCATACTCACGAACACTCACACGAACACACACACGCACTCACTCACGCGCACACAGACACACACGCACTCACTCACGCACACAGACACTCACTCGCACACTGACATTCACACACACACACTCAAATTCACACGCGTCATTCTATTTTATACATCTATAGTTTTATTGATCTTTGTGTTGTTGTTGTTTGACGTTTTGGTTGATGGAATAGAAGAAAGTTAAATTTTCTATCTGTGAATAAATTGCCAACAATTTGCCATCAAAAGTATTATGTCAGAGTCATGTTTTTATAATTTTTGTAATGGAACAAGTGTGAAGATGTTTTGAGTTGTCACTAAAGCAGCAAATATGCATCTAAAAGTCTCTTTTCTGCTTGATATGTTCCTGTTTACACACAGCTCCTTTTCTCTGTTTTCTTGCTCAGACCAGGTGTTATGGGTGAAAGTATGCTTTGTTCTATGCCGAATAACGCAAGAACGGTAAGAGGTAGAAACAAACTGTTTGTTTCAGAGTAAAGCAGAGAGGTGAATCTTTAATTTGGTGCCCTTGGTGTTTACATTGTCTAAAAAATGAATATTCTGTGGCACTTCAAAGTTGGGTCAAATCACCTGAAATTGCTGGCAGAACGCACTTCTCAAATCTGAAAATTCCTGGCAGTCAGTGAGTTAATTTGTGCTTGAGATTTGAGGTTCTCAAAAAGGAAGGTTTACTTTTTATATTTTCAAATTTCGCATACAGTATGTGTTTAGGACACAGCTATAATGGTTTAACATGAATTAAGTCAATTGGGAAAATATAAGTGTCTTGCCTTGACACTTAACCTCTGGGAACACCAGCCACAGTGGGGCAGCTGCGGCTGTAAAGTGCCAAACTGCTGTTGTGTCCTCAGGCAAGACACTTTACCCCCATTGCCTAGAATGAGTCTGGTGTGTGTGTGTGAATGGTTGGTGGTGGTCGGAGGGGCCGATGGCTCAGACTGGTTGCCTCGCTTCTGTCAGTGTGCCCCAGGGCAGCTGTGGCTACAGTAGTAGTTTATCACCACCGTGAATGGAGTGAAAGAATAATGACATGTGAAGCGTCTTTGAGTGTCCAAAAAAGCGCTATATATAACCGATGCATTACTATTATTATTATTATTATTATCAAAATAAATGTGTGTTATCATTTCTCCTTAACTCACTGTTTTGGGAAAAGACCTGAGCTATGTCCATATAGTATGTGTTTTGCTGTACAACAATTAAAACGTTGAAACTAGAATAAACTACATGTTTGCTGCTGTATGTGCGCAGATATATTATGAATGGAAATAATAAAATATAAAATCAAATGGAAAAACAAGATATAAATATGAGATAGCTTGTGGCAAACAGTCATTTGAAGTAAAATGGACATGAAAGCCAAAACAAGGCAGATTTAAACCCTTTGTATCTTTGCTGCTATTGACTGCGCCTCACATCACACAGACGTAACTATTGTGACAGTTAGAGGATTCTGGCTGCACAGAGTAGCTGCTAAATGTTGAGGAAGTGGTGGAGTCTGTTCTGTCCAGACTGCTGACCGCCTGCAGTTTGTAGTTTGACGGACTCCTCTGTTGACAGCTGGCTGCTTTAGATGTCTCTCGGGACGGGCTCTGTGCTGGGCAGAGATTTGAGGTTTAAACAGTATGACGGTTTACAGCGCGGCCATGATGCTTCCACTACATCACTGGTGAATTTTAGCTTTGAGAGTCTTAGCAGAAGAAAGGTGACAATTGTGACTCAAAAACAAATTCCATCCCCAAATGGAAATGAGCACTTTACAAATTTGGTTTTTTTTTCTCCTCAAAGCCATGAAGACAACATACTATAAACACATAATTACGGAGTGATAAAAACAGTTATTCTGCCAGACCAAAACATGACAATGCAACAGAAATACGATGATAGCTTTTAGAAGAAAGTGTGTGTTTGTCTCCAAATCTTACTAAAACATCATCATTTAAGTTTATGTGATTGCACTTTTCATCCAAGGATAAAGGAGCAGTGCCAGTGAGAATGAATGGGGTTGAGTTTCGGACTATTTCATTGTTGAGTTTAGAAGGGAAGGTGTTTTTCAGCATCGTTTCCCGAAGACTGACCGAGTTCCTTCTCAAGAAGAACTACATCGTCGCCTCAGTTTAAAAGGGAGCAGTCCCGGCGCTCCCAGCGGGAGCACAGGGGTAGTCATGCTCATCAATCCTGGTCAACGCTTATGGATCCATACCCCACAAGCTGGTCGAGCTCACCCTCAACCACCAGCAAGATCACCGACATTATCCTGAATGACAGCAATTTCAGGCTAAGGTTCAATTCTGGATCAGAGACATCAGACTGGCATTGTCGGGGAAAAGGAATAAAAACAGGTTGCACCATCTCCGTTGTTATATTTTCCTCACCATGAACATGGTGGTTAAGTGAGCTGAGGGGGAATGGAGAGGAACACTGACTGACAAGTCTGGAGTACGCCAGCCCCCGATATGAGCCTACATGGATGACCTCACCGTCACAACCACATCAGTACCAGGGAGCAGTTGGATCCTAAAAGGGCATGAGGATTCCTCAATTGGGTGAGGATGAGTTTTAAGCCTTCAAAGTCTACGTCCATGGTCCTGAAGCACGAAAAGGTGAATTACAGGTTCCAGTTTTCAATCTCAGGAACCACCATTCCATTCATTACAGAGCAGCAGTAAAGAATAAGTAAAGAAAGAAGTCTGAAGGACACTAAGAAGTTCATGCAATCCACAAGCGATGCTGCGGAGAAAGCTACAAGGTGCATCTGGATATTGCTGGGACACAGGTTGTGCCTGATTATGAGGGTGTCTGTTGACCCGAAACACCCTATGACCCAAAGCCACAACACTGATGATGTGTCCCAGCGCATCCAAGAGATGTTTTCCGTTTAATCCATATTTGCATGAATGTTTTTCTCTCTTAATCAAGTTAAGACCCCATCTTTATTTAATTAATTTCACCACAGAAAGATTAAAGACACACTTTTAAGACACATTTGTCACAAGTCTCAATAGAAAAGGTATTTTTAGATTGCAGTTCAAAAAATCTGCAACTTTGCTACACATGTTTGTTAGTTTAGCAATAAAAAACAAGCAAGGAGGAGAAACACTCAGCGCTGGGACTGTGACCAACCCACAGAGACAGGCACTAATCAAACCACTAATTGATGCATGTTTTTGAGCATAAATTAAATCCTAATTCTCTGAAGTGTGGAGATGAGACGTGACTGTGCCATGGGTCAGTTAAGTGAGGAGGAGGGGGCTTTGGGGACTTCTCCAGCTCTACTAATTACACATCAGGACACTAAACACAAAATTATTGATCTATTTTCAATGTCAGAAGATGGGAGTTTCTAGTCTGATGCACATATGCAAAAATACACTTAAATCAAGGCAGTGAATGAGTGACTGTAATGCATACACATACTGTAACTCATTTAAAGCAATAACAAAAAGCCTTTGCTTGGCAGAAAAATAGGGAGCCTTCTTTAGTGGAGTTGGCAACAAATTGTGCTTCAATGCACAACTGCTTGATTTGTTTAGAGTCACCCTGATGTCTCTTTTGAATGTCTGCTGCACTGACAGCATGTGAGAAAAAGGTCATACATTTCAGAAAATAAACTAAAATAATGTATAAGAAAATGTTTAGCATTTAATAAATATGAGTAAAAATAGACAGTGGGGTGGCAGTGGCTCAGTTGGCCTCAGCATTGGCCTTTGGCCCTGAAGGTCGTGGGTTCGAGCCAGTGGGGGCGGGTCCCGGCTCAAAAGTTGCCAAAATGACGTGCGCTGACATGCTGCAATAGCACCCTGGGCCGATGGGGGTGGACCAAGCCCCGGCGATCCAAGATGGCGCCCTATTCAAATGAATGGTTGTGCTCAGTTTTGCGACAGCGCTTTGTGACGGCATGGGGGCTGAAAGATTAGCGGAAGTTGCCTGAAACTCGCAAAGATCTTTGGGAAACTCGCCTGTATTTGGGCATCGTCTGGTCCTCCCGGTTCTGCGCAGTGGATGATCTCCCATAATGCGTTGCGCCAAACACGCGCAGGGCTGGACTGGCCATTGGGCGTACCGGGCAATGCCCGAAGGGCCGATGCCCATATTTGGGCCGGTCTGTTTGCCTCATACAAAAAAAAATGTTTGTGAAAAGTGTAAATCCGTTGAGAACTGTTCGAGGGAGCGCGCGTGTCCGCGGGGCACCTGCTGTATGTACTGGAACGGGATTCTACCACCTCAGCGGCCGCAGTGTTCCCGCATCCAGCGGCTCTGAGCTGGACGCGGGAACCACTCACCGGGAACCGCTCACAACACAACACGGTGAGCGCGTAGCCGCAACCCAACCCCATAAACGCGCACAGGACCATGCGTGTCTTTGCGTAATTTGTGCACCCAATAAATACACCGCTGCAGGAAAAAGTCCGCGTCTCCCCTCTCCTCTTGAAGTGCGACTAAATTAAAGCCCGGGTACCTAAATTTTCCATTGCATTAAAAGTTCATGTTTGAGCCCAAAAGTAAAATGTTGTGAACAGATTAAACAGATTTAGAGCCAGCAAATGGCTGACAATATGCATTTCAGACTTTTTTGACCAATTCTCATCCCTGTAACAAACAATAGTATTGTCTTTGTCCACCTCCCTCACTCTGAGACATGTTTATTACTCTCTTGTAATGTAGACTATTGCACTTTATTTTTTTGTTGAAACCACAGACATCCTGATCCTCAGTATGCTTCCACATACTGTATAAACCAGGGGTCGGCAACCTTTAGTGC